GTGCCTTTACTTGCTTTTTCCTGTTCTTGGATTCCGATGGTGTTCCTAGTATTCTTAGGTTTTCTTTTTCCAACATTAGCAGATCAGTGTTGACAATTATATGTTTTTTTCCACCGGTTCTGTGTTTCGTCTCTTCAACTCTGTTCATGTGTCCCTTGACAACATCTTTTCATTTTTACAACATCTGAAACATTGGTCCTCATATTTTGTATTGTGGTTTCTAGTTTTTACAGAGGCTCTAATGCCTAGTTTGTTTTATCTGCATTGTTTGGGATTTTTTTTTCTTGCAGTGTCCTGTAATTCTTCAAGCTTATCTTTCACCCATTGAAAATACTCAATTATTGTTCTTTTAAATTCGGTGTCAGTTTCATCTGACATTCTGGCTTCAGGAAATCCATTGATACTGTGTCACTTTTAGGGGGTGACATTTTGCCTTGAGCTTGTGTAGAGTGTGCAGTAGCCTGCTGCTTATGTGACACTGCTCTGGTAGAATTTTTCACACCTAAGGTGATTGTGGGCTTTTGGTCTGACCTCACTGCTCCAGAGCATGGGGTGGTCTCTACTCTTCTATGAACTTTGACTCAAGGGACGACTTGTTCTATTCAGGAGAAAAAAGGCCTGTGAATTAGCAGTCTCCTCTGTCAGACAACTGCTGCAGCTAGGCCAGTCCATGGTTCTCCAATCTAAAGATAGCTCACACTTTAGGAGGGGAGAGGAAATGAAATGGGTTCATCTGTGATACTGATGTTTCTGGTGAAGTTTAGAAAGGTGGCAGCAGGTTGTCCTCCAGGTGTTTGGGTTTGGGCATCCAGGCTGTTGTGCCAGGTCCTCCAGATGATGGGTCCAGGATGTCCCAGTGGTGTGGGCAGGACTTCCAGACAGCAGGGCCAAGACTTTTAGGAATAGGCCCAGGCAAATGTCCCTGCATACAGATAAGGTCCTTCAGATGTATTCAGGGGTCCAGAGGAAAGGGCCAAGTGCCTCCAGTTAGAGGGTACAGGGCTCCACCAGGCTGCCGTGCCTTGGTCTAGTGCTCCAGGCAAGAGACCAGCCCAGGACACACTAAGAAATTTTTAAAGTAAGGTACCTACTTAATTGACTGAATGCTCAGACACTTGTGACACACAGAGACCCCATAACATTTTCTCCTTTCCTTCTGAATCCTCACCTTTTTAATTGTTCTTAGGTGCCATCAAGTTGAGTACAACCCATAGGGACCCTAAGAACAACAGATCTGAACCCTGTCCTAAGCTGTGCCTCACACGTCTTAACACATTAGAGCCCATTGCAGCAGTTACTGTGTCTGTCCACCTGGTCAAGGTTCTTTTTCTCTTTCGCCAACCCTCCACCTTTCTAAATATCATGTCCATTTCAAGGAATAGCCCCTCCTAGCTACATCCCTGGAATATGTTAAGTCAAGCCTCATCATCTTTGCCTCCAAAGAATACTCTGGCTGCAATCTTTCCAAAATGTATTTGTTCTTTTGGCTGTCCATGGGATGTTCAGTTCTCTTCTCCACCACCACCACAGCTTAAAGGCATCAGTTGTTCTTCTGTCATCCTCTCAGATGCATACATAGCAAGTATCAGAAAGATCATGGCCTAAATCAGATGCACCTCATTCCTCAAACTGATATCATTATTCCTCAGTAATTTGGAGAGGTTCCCAATACAATACATCTACTGATTTCCTTACTGCTGGTACAAGGTTGTTTGTGGATCAAAATAAGATACAGTTGACAGTTTCAATCTTTTCTCCATCATGATGTTGCCTATTGGACCAGCAGAAAGAATGTTTTGTCTTCTTGGCACTGAAATGCAATCCATATTTAAGTTTGTGTTGTGTTCTTTGATCCTCTGCAATAAGTGTTTCAAGCCCTCTTCACTTTCAGCAAGCAAGATTATATCTTCCATAATGCAGGTTATTGATTTCTTCCCTGATTCCGATGCTACATTCAAGTTCTCCTCACTTGCAGCAAGCAAGGTTGTATCTCCATAATGCAGGTTATTCTTCCTCTGATTCTGATGCCACTTTCTTCTTCATAAAGTCTATAAACTTCTGGAATAATTTGCTCACCATACAAATTGAATAAATATGTACAGAGAATACAACTCTAATGTACTCTCTTCCTAATTTTAAACCATTCATTGTCTCCTTGCTCCGTTTTCACAACAGTCTCTTGGTCTAGGTATAGGTTTAACATGCGCACACTTAAGTGCTCTGAAATTCCCATTTTTCTCATTGTTAGCCATTAACCAGTTATGTTCCACACAGATAAATACCTTTGCATAGTCAATAAAGCACAAATATACATTCTTCTGGTATTCTCTACTTTCAGCCGGGATCCATCTGACATGAGCAGCAATGTTCCTGGTGTCATTGCCTCTTTTAAATCTTGGTTGAACTTCTGGCAGTTCCTTATCTATATATAATTTTATAGCTGTTTTTTAATGATCTTCAGCAATATTTTGCTTGCATGTGAATTAATATTGTTCTATAGTTTCCACATTTAGTTGGATCACCTTTCTTGGGAATTAGAACACATATTAAGCTCTTTCATTCAACTGTTTAGAGGCCAAACAGCTGTCCTCCAAATTTCCTGGCGTAGACTGGTGAGCATATCCATGACTGCATCTGTTAATTGAAACTAGTCAATTGTTATTCCATTTATTCCTGGGGCCTTAATTTGACTGTATCATATGAGAAGGATAGTAAAAGGAAAACTTCTAAGTTTCTCATCTGAAATTTTCTAAAGGAGTTAAGAAGGATTTAGAGCCAATTTGAGGTTTTGAGCAGTTGAAATGTACATGTTAAGACTTGAGATGTCCTGAGTTTGATCTTAAATAGTAAAAAATTAATTATTTTCTCTGACGTTTTGTGGAAAACTATTTTTTAACCTTCTCATATCATATGAGAGTAGTATTGAAATGAATATATTTTTAAAATTAAGTGGTTCCGTTTTCCATAGAATAATATGTATATGGGAAAGTAATTTATGCGTTTTTTTTTATTAATAGGTGAATATTCAATAAAGAATTCATCTGGACTTGGCTTAATTATAATTCCTACGGTGATATTAATATTACTTCAGTACTGTGCTTTTATGACAGGTCAGTGTTTTTATTAAAGCATGATTTTGAATATCTTTTGCACTGAAAACAATAGCATCGTGATGAAAACATTCTTAAATTTTTTAACAATTCAAAAGCATAATTATTAAAAGATTTTCCAAGTTATTCTTAGAGACATTTTCCTCATATGAATGAATTTTAACCTTATCTTAAATGTTCAAGACACTGAATTATTTTATTAAAAGATATGTTGTTTGTTGTTGTTATGTGCCGTCGAGTCGCCTGCGACTCATAGCGACCCTATGTACAACAGCCCTAAACTCCGCTCTGTCCTGTGCCAATCGCACTGTCTCCGACACTCCCATCCCAATTATCCCAATCACTGAATCAATCCACCTCATAGAGGGCCTTCCTCTCCTGCGCTGTCCCTCCACCCTCCCAAGCATGATGTCCCTCTCCAAGGACCGGTCTCTCCTCACAACATGTCCGAAGTATGTTAGACGGAGCCTCAGAATCCTTGCCTCCAAGGAGCCACCTGGTTTAACCCTTTCCAGGACAAATCTGTTTGTTTTCCTAGCAGTCCATGGTATTCTCAGTACTCTTCTCCAGCACCACAGCTCAAAGGCATCAATTCTCCTTCTATCCTCCTTGATATATATATATATAAATTAAAAGATATATATAGATATAGATAGATATTGAGATATAGATAGATAGATAGATAGATAGATAGATAGATAATTTTTTACCAGTTAGTGGATATTATACTATATAATCTCTTGGTGGTTCTCTTTATGTTCATTTTTTCTTTTTTTGAATTTATAAGTAGATATTAAAAATACCCTGTCTTTTCTTTTGCTAATCCTCTGCATTTAAAAATACTAGTTGTATACCACAGTGGTCTAAATTACAAGCAGTAGTATTTTAATGCAAAGCCAAGTCAAACCCACCACCACCGTTAGGTCTATTCTAACTCTTGGCCACCCTCCATTGAGTTGGGCTGTGAATCTTAACCACAGCTAAAGCCTCTCCTTCCTCCTCTGCAGTGGTTAGGAGATTCAGCCTTTTTATTTAGCAGCCCAGCAGAACACACTATGAGTTTTAACAAAAATTGATGTTATTGTACTATCCAAACTACATTTAGCTTTTGGTGTTAGAGCCTATCTCTGACTATTCATTGCAGATTTTGGTTTGTTGTAAAATCATAGTTCTTTTTTCTGTATATGCAAAATAAAGGTTTGACGTTTACAATGGCATGTTTGCACAATGATTCTCCTCTTCAGAGCGCGTGTGTGTGTGTGTGTGTGTGTGTGTAGAGAGAGGTTATGTATATGATTGTAAAACATGGGAATGTGGTAAAGGCAGCATTGTTCCAATAGGATTTAGTGTAAAAACTGCCAGCACAGCTTAACTAATTTAAAAGAAAATGCCTATGAATCCTGAGTTCATAGGTCATAATCAGATCACAACCTAGTGATCACAGAAAAAAAGAACATCTCCTGTCTGACGACGAACTCCAGGGTCACAGAACATTGTTCTAGCACAAAATACAAATAACAGTGACTGAATTTTACTGTTAACATGTTTCTGTTATATCTTTTCCATTCCCCAGCTTTTGGAATGACTTCCTTTGCCATTGCCATATTGATTCTTCAGGTGCTGGGGTATGCACTTGCTGTGGTTGGATTAAGCCTCTCTGTCTCAGGTGAGGGTCCCATTCTTCTGTCATCTCAGTTTGTTTTACTGGAGATTTCTCCTGGACAGTGCTTTTTGCTGTAACTTTTTATTGTAACTTTTCTCTACTGAGAAATTGTAGTTGCCATTATAGTACTGACTTATGTATAGCTTGCGGGCTGATTGATTTTGCTGCTGTATTGTTACACCTGCTATTTTTGGTGGATCTTTTAAAATAGAGCCAAAAGCAGAAGTAGTAACCTTTTTACCCTACTTTCCATTAGTGATGATAATATGTACATAAACTTCAAACGGGCTTTTAAAAAATACACATATTTTGGAATCATTTCCTTGAATTAATAATAATAGTGAAAATATGTAGACTTTTTCATTTCTTGAAAGTTATAAATATAATCAGTCTCCTTATAAACTCTATATTATTGATATTATTGTTAATTCTTTTATAACTTTGTGAACTTCAAATATAAAATTTCATTTGTTTTTACAGAATGTACCCCCCAGCAGGGTCCACTTCTGATTTCAGGTTTGAGTATCGTAGCTCTAGCAGAATTACTTGGACTAGTTTATATGAAATTTGTGGGTAAGTTCATCTAATTTTTGCTCTAACCTGTACCAATTTAAAATGTATCACTGAGAAAATACTCCTGTTTGGATGTTTAAGTTTAAGCACAAAAGGAATTAAATAATGGCTCCCAATATGAGAAAATGAAATTAATGCTACTGTATTTTTAATTAATTTGAAATTATTTAAGGGAAAGAACATATGAAGTAATAAAACGTTTAGGCTATAAATTGGTTCAACAGATAATGAGTTTATGTTTTGAAATTTATCCATTTCTTGTACTAACCATAGGGAGAGATAACGGAGGCTTCATTTTATTTATAGAATAGTATCTTTAAGAGGCTGTTGTTGTTCTGATAGGTTCCTTTTGCTGCATAGTGGTTCAGTGCTCAGCTGTTAGCCAAAAGGTTGGCGGTCAGACATACCAGCCACTCTGAAAAAAGATAAGGCATCTGCTTCCATAAGGATTTACAACGAAGGAGACCCTGAGAGCAGTTCTGTTCTGCCCTACAGAGATGCTGGGAGTCAGAATTGACTCAATGGCAATTACTGTATTTTTATTTTTCTTGTCACTTGCTCTTCTCTTTGCAGACTCTTTTCTACTTGGTTCCCTAAGTAGACAGCATTGAAAAGAAAAATCCATCCATTTTGTTAGTTTAAAAGTCAGTGCCCTAAAAAAAAAAAAAAAAAAAAAGTCAGTGCCCTAAATCATGACTTTAAGACCAATATAAGTACACCATTCGATTTTAAATCATAGGTGTTTTCTACGTTTAAAATCAGTGCTTGAGGAGTATGAAATTAGTTTCATTGATAATAAACTTTGGATTTCTTTTCCCCTATTCAAATAATAACTTTCTACATACATTCTTACACTTTAAAAAAAAAATTTTATACTGGTTTGCTTACAAAGTTCATATATATTGTTTTTCCTACTACATATATTCTTGGTTTTGATACATAAGTAAGATTTTTTAATTTTTAACTTTGCCTCAAACAAGGTTGTTCTCTTACTGAAACCAAAGATACTCTCTGCAATCTTATTTCTACTAGTCTGCTTTTTTCCCATCTATCAAGTAAATCAAACACTTCTATTTCTATCAAAATATCAGAAATTTCAAAATAACAAAGTAGAAAGAAAACGGATTTTTTTTTCTGTTTTGTATGACCTTTACTACATATATTACTAAAAATGAGTTTAACATCTAAATTGTTAAATTGAAATCATTTACCATATGGCTTGCATGCTACTACCAGAGAAATTGCACCTTTATTTCTGAACTTTCCTGGTGAGCTATAATTATGTGTGGTTTTATCCATCCTTTAGCTTCTTCTCTTTAATAAATACTTGTTGGTCTTGTTGTTGTTGTTGTTGTTATGTGTGGTTGAGTTGTCTATGACTCATAGTGAGCCTTTGTACAACAGCTCTGAAGCCTGTTCTATGCTGAGCCAGTCTCACTGACTCCAGCACACTGACCCCCATTGCCACAGTCACTGTATCAATCCATTTCTTCCAGGGGGTCTTCCTCTCTTGCCCTGACCCTTCATCCTTCTGAGCATGATGTCCTTCTCCAAGGACTGGTCCCTCCTGGCCATATAGAGTCTGTCTGCTTACAACTGTTCCTCCTTCTTTGTATTTTCAGATTTGAGGGCTCAGCCTCAGGTGCCCTATCTGCTAGTCTACTATAAGTATGTTCTATTACAGGGTTTCGAAGGCCTGTTATTTTGGAAGTGTATGGCCAAATTCCTAAATACTTCTTAGATAAACGATTAAAAACTAATACACACTACCTCTTTTTTAAAAAATTTTTATTTTATTTTATTTGTTTATTTGTGTGTGTACTGTCAAATCAGATCTGACTGGTACAGGAGGAGATTGTCCCTCCTTCTCCAGTGGAGCATCTGGTGGATTTGAACTGTGCACCTCTGGGATTGCAATGCAGCTTCTTGCCACTAGACCACCAGAGTTCCCACACTACCTCTTTTTAGTTTATGTGTTCCTAAGTTAGAAGTGTTTGTCAGTGAAATTTTCTCTTAAGCTGTGTAAGCCCACAAGGAACATTTCTAAAGCCATGTGATTGGCTCATTTTGTAGCCATAAGGATATCACAAAGGTTGATTGCATACTGTTTTCATTGAGTCATTTTAACACCATGATCTTCTCCATGAGGATGACAGTTCAGATAGTGTTGCTCTCCATGGGGGCCTGAGAATGACACCTAACCAGCAGTATTCATCCAGTTGTTAGGAAGTGGTATTACTGCCTTTGGCCATTTGTTTTGTTTCTCATTTTCTGTGTTTGGTTGTGTTTTTTTAAATAAAAATAAAAATTTTTAAAAAGTTAAAAAAATAAAATTTAATAAAAATTTTAATTGTAATTTTAACAAAAGTTTACAGAAAAGTTAGATTTTCATGCATTTATTGTTGCACATTTTTACCCCCCTCCTTCCTTCACTTCTCCCTCCTCCAGTTAACTTTTTTGTGTGTTATTTAAAAAAAACAAAAAAAACCAAAAAACCACCCATTCACTGTTTCACAGTTACCTCCCTCCCCTACTCTGCCACCAGTCTTCTTTGCAATGTACCTCTTATTCTGGGCTCTTGTCGTACATATAATTCCTAATCATATATTCCTTTTAAACAGTTCTTTCCTCATCTATTCCAGCACTATGTTCATTATCTATCCGCTCTTCTTCTCCTCCCAAACCCTCATGTCAGACCTGCTTTATAACAAGGGTGCTATTTTCTGTGTTGGTCTTCATTTTCTTCCCATGCTTACACATGCCTTCCATGGCTAGGAAAAAGTGTTGTGTTGTACATGTGCCAGCATGTCTGAGGCTGGTGACTCAAGAGAAAATAGATCCTGTCTGGCTGCCATTCCCTTGATCTTACTCTCCTCCATCAGTTACACTCCACTCCCAACCCAAAGAGCCTTTGAACCCAGAGTCATTAAAGTCTTCTGTGTTCTCTTACTGAATGAAAATAAAATTCTGCAAAGATCTCCAAGTTATTTTTGTTCCATTAACATATAATAGCTTAACATACAAATGTACCATATGTAAGAATTTAGTCTGCTTTTTTTTTTGGTATTTTGAGAATATTCTTTAAGTTAACTTTTCAAATCAACTTATCTGATGCTAGAATTGAGAGACACTCCTTCGCCAGTTGAAGGGAGAGACAAGAAAAGGTACAGGAAAGTTGCTCTTTAGATAATGTAGTAGACTAGGAATATTTATGTGTTTTTATTATGTAATTTAAATGTGTAAGTCCAAGTGCATGTAACATTAAGGTTGCAAGGAAGTGAAGACTGAAAATTTCCAAATCATTTTTATTGATTGTAGATGTTCTTGGAAAAACGTCATTAGTGGATGTTGAGCAAAAGTCAGTAACATCATTAAGTACTTAAAACAAAAGAAGAATGTAATTCTTTAGCATAATGCTGTGTTCCTATGCAAATTTAACTTCTATACTCTTTATTATTTCCAAATTTAAATTTGTAGCCTTAATTGTTACATTAAATAGTAGGATTTTAAATTTTGTTTTAAATTCACTGTGTTGGGTTACTGGGTTACAAGGAACAGTGAGCCAAAAGTGATGAAGTAAATGTGGTGGCCACTCCTTGCTGTCTCCTGTCAAGCTCTGGATGAGTTGATAGGAAGAGATCTAGAGCCCACAGTGGGAATGGTAGATGGCAGGGGTTTACTACCAAAGCAATGAACGAATTAGCTTCTTTGGCTGCTGGGATGGCATGCATGAGTGAGAGAATGTATGTGTGTGTGTGTTTGTATCTCCTGTAGGCGGATTGGGTTGTTTGCATAATTTTATTCTGTCAGTGCTTATAATAAAAAAAATGTTCTGTATGTTAGAGTAGAATATCAAAGCTCTTTCAGTGAAGTCTCTGTCTCTGGTAGTTTCAGCCCTGATCAACAGTCTATTTTAAAATGAAGTATTGTGTTGCCTTACTTACTTTCATTTGTTATATTCATGTTATTTTTTTTTTTATTATTAGCTTCCAATCAGAAGACTATACAACCTCCTAGGGTAAGTAAGAAAACAGTGAGTTTGTTTGGGTTTTACTCTCTGTCTAGTGTAACAATCATTACCTTTGCGTGAATAAATCCAATTCAGTGCTAAAACCTGTGTTTGACTGTTTTAGCAGCATTGGGATGGAATGAAGTATTCCTTGAGATTTTGCTAACTTTTCTCTCTTAAAACTGGGAAGTTTGTGTAAAAATAATGACCCTAATCACGACAATCAGAAAGGAACTGATTGCCATTTTTCCCCTACCCACCCAGACTCATTAGACCTGTTGTTTGCTGTACATATCCAGAATGACAATCTCTCACTTAAAAAGGAGGAGAGGAGTCACTATTAAAATTATTATCTATACATTAAATATTACAGAAAATGTTTGGTTCATTTATATCCCCTTCCTTCCATTTTTGTAAATGTTTTTTCTCCATAGTACTATACTACAAATTTCACTATACCTTAAATACTTTTAACATGTTGCCGCAAATGACGGCAAAATGTGTTTCTAAGCATAGTCATCAATTTAAAAGTGTGTGGCAACGTGTTAATAAGCTTTTTGAGGAAATTCCAAGAAAAGGGAGCAAATTTAGGAGATTAAATTGAAGGGGATAAATGAGAAGAGGGGGAACCCTTTCATAAATACACACTCATCATGGTGATAAGACCAAGAAGAGGTGTTTTATAGGAATAAGACTTGAAAAAGACTATTGTACTCAGTTTCCTGTGAAGGATTGATGCTAGATATTCATAAGGATGTGTTTGCTTCGTCTGGGTTGCTAACTCCTGTCTGTGGCAGGAAGGAGAGTTTACATATTCTCCCAAGTCTGACAAGCTTATTTGCAATGTGCCTAAAAGGCACTTTGGAAGCAAGGGGGTGTCTAGTCTCACCACAGGTACTGTTCCAAAACAAGATTGGCATCATAGCCATTGTTTGCAATGGTAACAGCCAACAGTTTGCAAAATGCCTCTCCTAGATCTAACCCTTCCTTTTTGTCTCTTTAACTCCTAACACTTCTTTCTTTCTCTGCTTCTGAATCAATTTGCATGGCTTGAAAGTGATTCTGTTTTGCTCATATCTTTCATTTAACTAACTACTGTTTATTTTGTTGGTGGTGCTTGTTTGCCTTTAACTTTTTTTTTAAGCTATTAAGATTTCTTTCACTGGGGAAGCTAGGGTGGGTGGGAAATTTTAAGAGGATAGAGCAATTATTTTTAAACTGTTAAGTGGACTTGGCAAGCATTGCTTACCTTTATTTCCTGCTTCAGACTATAGCATTCACAGCTTATTATGTACACTTGTCCCTCAATATCTGTGGAGATTGGTTCCAGGACCTCCTGTGGATAACAGAATGCATCCAGAATCTGAGGATGCATAAGTCCTTTATATGAAATGGCGTAGTGTTTGCATAAAACACATCTTCCCAAATAATATTTAAAACTTCTTAAATTTATTTTTTAAATTTTCACACATCCTCCCATATAATTTAAATCATGTCTAGATTACTTATGCTACCAGGTACAATGTCAGTTCTTTGTAAGTAGCATTATAGGTGCTCTCTGAGCCCTGGAAGGACTGTTCTGATCACTTATTTGCTTATTTCTCCTCCTTCCCAAATATTTTTTAGACTTTGGTTGGTTGAATGAATAGTTGCAGAACTTGCGGATACCGAGGGCCAACTGTAGCTTAAATGTTCTCTCTCCTCTCAATCATTGCCGCCAAGCTGTATATAAAGTGTAGTGTAAAATGACATAATATAAATTTTGCTTCATGTAAATGTATTTTAAATATTTTCCAGAAAGCTGTAGAGGAACCCCTTAATGGTACGTGGTAATTAAGATTTTATATGTTCTTGACCCATCACCAGATCATAATTTGAACTGGTCTTTAAAGCAGCCAAAATATTCCAAATATTCTTGCTTACTCCCTTGCCTTTACCTCTCTCCTGAGTATTCATCAAAAATTAAGAGTGTTGTGTTTTTTTTAACCACTGGGAAAAACATAGTTTTGTGTCCCTTAAGTAGTTGCTTTCCCCACCACATAGTACAAGAATACTATGCTGCTACCCCCCTTGTAAGGTTGTCCAAGATGAAGTACACAACCTCTAGTAGAGTAATCCCAAGTAATTTTAATTTCCTTATAAATTTAAGAAAGATATAGTCTATCACCATGAGATGAGACAAAATGTGTCTCTTTCTTCCTACCTCTCCATCTATATTTACAACTGAATCTCCTTTCTTTGGAGGATGGCTGTGGGTGTGACTCATTGCAGTAAACTCTAGCCTTGAAGTTAACCTGGCCATATTTTTGTGATGCAGTTAGCATGATATTACTGCATATTTGTTTATTTAGAACTGATTTCTAATTGTGCAACCCATAGTAACTGCTTGCTTGGCTTGTTACTAATTTCTTAGCATTCAAAGAATCAAAAGGAATGATGAATGAAGGTAAGTGTGAAATGCACCTATACTTTTATTTTAGAGTGGTTAAAATATGGGCATTGAAAAAAAAGAAACCTGCTTCTTAAAAGTATGACTTTTTTCATTAACAGAGACACTAAATCATAAATGTCTAAATGTCTTCATTTTTAAAATTAAATCTTATTTGTTAAAAATTGCAAATCTAAAATATAAAGATTACATGGTTTCACCAATCACAATATCTATTCATATAGCTTATAGCAGATAGATTCAGTGTCTTGTGACTGTAACTTTAAAATACTTTCTCTAAGTCACGCAGATAAAGTGGATATGTTTCTGTATCATTTTGACAATTTGTTGGGGTTTTAAAAATTTTTTTAAATTTTCTTATTGTGTGTGTGTGTGTGTGTGTGTGTGCCGTCAAATTGGATTTGACTGGTACAGGAGGAGATTGTCCCTCCTTCTCCAGCAGAGCATCTGATGGATTTGAACCACTCACATCTGAGATTGCAGTGCAGCATCTTGCCACTAGACCACCAGAGCTCCCATTTTGACAGCTTTTATTTGTATTGATGTTTCATTTAATCCATAGGGACTTAATAGCTCTACTTTCTAAGCAAGAGCTTGGTTCTAACCTCTTCAGAGAAGATTTAACCATTCCATGATCTATGGGACATAATGATGTTTTCTATTTTCCACATTTAGAGTTTAGTGGGAAGCCTCGATCCCGTTTTTAGTGTGTACTTCCATTTCTTGGGGGTCTGTATAAGTAAATATAAATCTGACTAAAATATTTCCTACTACAAGCCCCAGCACTAGCGAGCCGTTGGGACATATATGACCCACTAACTATCAAAATCCACATTACTGTAAAAATATTTTTACTTAATCCAGAATGACAACTGTAATGGAAAACACATGGTTTAAAAGAAATTCAAAACAAAATAATTCAGTCTTGAAAGGATTAAAAAAATGTTTAGTTCCAACATTTGTTTCTTTTTCTTCATTTTATGTTCTGTTTTTGGTGGAGGGGGAAAGAAATCTGGATTAATGATAATTTTTAACATTTATTAAATATTTCTAAGGCCTGTATGTTAGTAAAGATACATAAGCATTCAGATAATTAATTGAATACTATAAGTATTCATTTAGATTTAATATTTGTCAGTTTTGATAACATTTTGATAATTAGTGTTTATTTTACTTTAGCAAAAATACCTTGATAGCTTTAATATTTACAGTCATTACTTCACATCCTGTTGGTAGCTTTCTTCTCATTTTAAATGATCAGCTTTTATTTTACTGTCTTAAAGTCTGTGACCTGAGTGCTTACCTCCAAGCGCAGCGCAGCATTTAGCACAGGAGGCTGTATTCCACTGAGTGCAATTAATTTTTTGCATGATATTAAAAACACTTCAATCACATGTTTGTGGATTGATTTTAAAACAGTATTTATTTAGGCTCGTACTCAGCAAAAAATAATAGAATACTCCCACCTTTTTTATAGGTTTGTGTCACAGCCTTTATTACAGAAATGCATGCTTTGTTATGCAAGTCAACACTCCTCCCCCTCAGCCACCCAAAATTGTAGTTAATAAGAACAAAGACATTTAAAATAAGTGATACCTAGAGGTGTGGTATAGTCTGACTGTTTGCACTTTGGTGTCTTGCTTTTGTTTGGTTTGGGGTTTTTTTTGTTTGTTTGTTTTTAGTTTCATTTGTTCATTCTATTGCTAGAGTGATTGCATTCTTTTGTAGCTGTAAATGAAAAATCCAAACCCCTTTCTCCATTTCGGAATAGCAGCGTAAGAACTTTAAGCGCCTCTTCCTTTGATAATCTCCCTTTCAAGATTCAAACTCAAACTCGCTGCTGTTGAACTGCTTCCAACTCATAGCGACCCACCATTAGGTTCCCAAGGCTGAAAATTGCAATGGAGGGAGACTGACCATCTCTCTTCCAAGAAGACACCAGTGGATGTCAGTCACTAGTGAGATGCAGCCTTTGGGGTAGCAGTGCAGCTCACCATGGACTACACCACCACAACTCCTTCATGACCCTTTTATGTAACTTTTTAAACCAGTCTTTCTGGAAGTAGAAGCAGTTTTGCATTTCTTTAAATTTTTTTGTTCAAATGGCTTTCTAGTGGGTGTTTTCTACTGGCAAGGCCTTAGCGTTCCCAGTCTGTATGCTTTGTCAGTGAATGAGGTTCAGGACACCTTCCTAAGGTCCATGGTACCATTCCTTCATTCAGTTGTACCACTCCTGCCTTTATTTCACTTACATTGAATGAATGATGAAGATCTAAAGTAAATGTCACTCACTCATCCTCTTTGTCTTTGAATCAGATCTAACTCATAACTAACCCTTTAAGTGGATTTGAATTGCCGGAGAGATGCCTGCTTTGGTTTAGCATTGAGACTCCCTACCCAACAAGCCACCAGAGCTCGCAGTACAGTAACATAATGTCTCTAAGATAAAAAAATCTTGGCTTTGAAAACTCTACATCTCTTGACTTTTTCTCAACAGCAAAAGGAGATTATCAAATTTTATTTATTTTTATTTTCACTTGGCACTGACCTTTGCTTACTGAAATTAAAAACCCTAATGATCTGCCTTTGCAGATACAGGTTGAATATATTTTTCCTTATTTTTAGGTGCTGTATATTTGAAAAGATGCCCAGTGTTTTGAAAAAAAAAAAAGTGTCAACTTATTAATGCACAGGAAATGACATGAGTAGTAATTATTTGTTCATTTTTCAATTTTCCAGAATAACTGAAGTGATAAATGATGATGTGGAGAGTACTACTACGTGAAAGGAATACACTTGTATCTAAGCACCATGGCCTTGGTTTTCTGTTGGGAAGAAGAAAACAAGAATATTAACTGGTCTTAATCTGTGAAAGAAAATAAATCATTGATCCTAACATGATTGTTACAATTACGTTTTTATTCAAAAACAGCTGTAATTGAATTAATAAAAGAATGATGGTGTGTGTCGTGTGCCCAATTGAGTTCCAGTTTTTTGGTTGTTGTTTTTGTTGTTGCTGTTACTTTTATTTAGTTAGGGACAAAATAGAGTTGGCAACTTCCAAGAATGATGCCTTTAAGATATGAAATTGGCTCAAAGTGAGAATTACCTACCCAGCAACCTGGTGACTTACCCAGGGAGTTCTCTGAAAAACTCTTCCTGCCGCTGAAATTCCGATTCACAAAAGCTTGAAAAATAGTGTGGCTAAATTATGTGTCTGCCACTTCTGGGTTAAAGAAACAGTGAATTTGTATGCAGGTAGGAATTTTTCTGGAGAGCATCTTCTCTGCCACTTCTGCATGATGGGGTGCTAATGGAGATGGAGGTCTTCATTCTTGGGGATTGCCATGTATACATTCCTCCTTCAGCGTACAGTGTAACTGATCCTTTCCAGAGTCAGGGTCATTTTATTGATCGGTGTGTTTTTCTTTTAGTCACACAACCCTATAAACCCTGTCTTGTCCGTCCCACTGTGACATGTTTCTGCTGTGTGAGCTGTATCACCTTTTCTTCTCTTTGAATGTGGTCCAGTGGCACGGTATCATCGGTTGCAGAAAGGAGCCAGACATGTGCTCAGAGCACTATGTTCACTCTGCAAAAAAAATAGCTATGGTTGTAACATATGTATTCCCTTCCTCTGATTTGAAGGCAAAAATCTATACAGTGTTTCTCCACTTCTCTTCTGATCAGGGCATGGAAAACCAAGATTGGAATTGGAACTATGAGTCTCCTGCATGGCAACATAATGTGTGTCACCAACAGGCCCACAGGCCGGCCCTCGCAAGGGTGGTTTTGTTACTGTTGTATCTATGTTGCATGATAAACACTCATCACCTCCCTCCTGTAGTCCTGCCCCCTCCTCCCTTACTCTGAGATTGAAAGGTAAAACAAAACCCCACATTTCCTGTCCCAGCTAGAAGAAGATTAACGTTGACAGTTGTGATCGCCTGGAGTACTTAGAGATTCTTAGCACTCGTTTTTTACCTTGTTTGTGAGTGTGTGTTTGTGCGCGTGTAAGCTAGGCACATGCATCTTCTGTATAACAAAAGTGGGTGCCTACAGGAGAGTAAATGTGAATGTCATGCTTTCCGTACAAATACTTCAAAAAAAATAAAGTTCTTTGTTGGGTGGAATTATATTTGATTGGAATATTTGATCACGTAAAACTTTAAAAACTTCTAGGTAAATTGCCAAGCTTTTTGATTGCTAACCAATACCGTCTTAAAATACTAGTAATTCTTCCTGTTTGTGTGCTAATATTACATTCATATTTGTAGTTGCTTTAATAATCATTCTAAGACCACTGGATGTTCCCTTGTGCCTCTTGTATGCCAAATTTAATTGTCATATTTCATGTTGGGACCAAATGGTTTGTCTGTGGCAAACCAGAATTTAATGATCTGCTGATGCCTCTCAAAAAACAAAAACAAAAAACAAAACACCCAAAACAAAAATCACTGAACTATGACAACAACTCTTCCTGAGAAAAGGAGATATCCCTTTTGTCCCTATTAGTGCCACTATCCAAACTACTAGCACTTGTGTAGGGATCTGTATTTCTTTATGTAAATCTGATGACTCCTGATGCTTTTTTTTTCCTTCAGAAATAATATACTTTGTTACTTTGGAAGTCAGTTTTGATGAAAGGAGGGGGAGGGGGGATCAGATGGACTTGAAAAAAATAGGTCTTTAAATTCCTGTTCTTAATATTAAGGTGATGTTGGCTGTGAAAATCTTTATAGTAAAATGTTTTATATAAAGTTATACTTTGTAATGTGCAGTAAGCTCATTTATTTGGAGTCTAGTCCTATGAACAATCCATCCTTTGTGTTCCATTTAATACTGCCCGTCTTTTGATGTGTTCACTGCCCTAAAACACCATGAGAAAGGAGCAGGCCAAATGTCAGAGGAAATCATCTCTCCCAGGGTCCACTTCTCTGGAGCAGGGACCAGAAGCAGGAATTACCTTGCTGGGCTATCTCCAGGCCAATTCATTCTTTCTAAATCAGCTTGTGATGGCTCCAAATTTTCTGTCACACCAAATTAAAATTGCTAACCATGTTTTGAACATCATGTATCTTTTTTCTTCCTTTCTCCATAATCTGCTTCTTACTTCATGATTGAGTGTTTTCTACCAACTCTCCCATTCAGTTTTATTGTATGTTCTCAGAGTGACACCGTTCATCATTTTCCTACAACAAGCTTTCTAGTCTTTTTAGCCAAATCAAAGCTTACTTCTAAACATTCTATGTTAGACCTTCTCTCCTTTGGCTGTCTGTCCTCATCTGTCTAGCCGTCTCTTTCATAATTTTCCTTATGTTTCATGTATCTCTGCTTAGCTCTGTTGCATTTTTTTTTAAATGCATCTTACTTCTCCAAGTTGATTTTAAAATGCCTTTCACAGCAAGAACTTTTCTTCCCTCCTCTCTCTTCTGCAGTGCTTTGCATACATTAGTCTCTCAGTACATAAGTTTGATGATTGAGAATTGGCTGTATTTAGATTTCCCACAGTTTTTAATAGGATGAGCTAGAGAGTATTCTTTTCTGATGAATTTCACATATTCTGAAAACCTTCAAAGGTAGTAAAAAAAAATTTAACCTGGAAATTCCAAGTCCATCTTACTTCAATTCCTGATAAAGTCACAATTAACTCATTGGGGCTGCCCAATAATTGAGAGCTTTGCTCTTTGCAGGATCCTGTAGTTCG